CGACTAGTTTCGAGCCCATCGGGGGCCCTTCATCAGGATGAGTGGTACTGGTATTATTTCGCGGACGCGGCCCGTCGCTTACTCATGATTCGCTTATTGTATCGGATTATAGACAGGATAGTTTTAATTCAAACTACGATTGTTTTATACAAAAATATCATACTTGGTTTATACATACATTGTTTGTACATAATTATTTAACATAATTTACTGAAAAAATTTCCAAAAAAAGTCCGAGAAATTTTACTCAGAAATTTTTAAGATGAAATAGACTGATATTCAATTGATAACTCCTTCGAATAAAATCCAAATTGACATTTATGCAGAGAAGTTCTTTAAGTTTTAACCACATATAAAAAGCCAAAGGTAAATAAGTCCTTTAAGTTCAGCACAAAATAGCAATTACATATGTAAATGGGTGTTTTTAGCGCGTATTAACTAAGCTAATAGGTAACTTTTAACACGAAAAAAAAAACGTCAATTATTTTAACCTATATACGTATTAGGTGTCAATCGAAATATTGGAAATTTAGCGTTAAGTATGGAATGACTGTGTGAAAGAGGATGTGCGTAGGAAGGGGGTAGACTCGGATATGACGGCTGATAGAGATGTATGGAGGAGTAGTACATGCTGTGCCGACCCTCGATAGGGATAAGTTCAGGTTGATGATAATGATGGTGAGCGTAATTAGAAAATAATTAAAACAAACAAAAATCGAAGGCTTTATCTAGCTTGTACATTATTCTGTATTCCTGCGAACACTAAACTTTCCAACAAAACGAGTTGCAAGCGAGTTAACAATAACAAAAAATACTAACACATTCAGAACGACGCGACTAGCAGTTGGAGCGTAACGGGTTCAGAGTTGCCAGGCGAAAACTCTTTGTGTTGCCATCACTGTGTATAATTAAATATTATTATTCGACGAGCGCACGCCGCGTTGCTGCTATTGTATGCCAATTGATACAAACGCTGGTGTTACCATCATTGTAAATTAAAAAATAAAATAAAAATAAATCATCCACTTTTTAATATCGATTTTTTTATCAGATTTAAAATAAATCAAATACGCAATTTAAAATAGTAAAGCGTAAAAACAATACTATTAATTAATTAAAAATAGTGTTGAATATGGAATAATTAATTTGGGATTTGAATTTAACAAATCTTACTATAATGATATTATAAATGTGAATATTTAGAGTTTGAAGGTATCTCAAAAACGACTGCATGGATCTCGCTTTAATTTGGCATAGATGTAGAACATAGTCTGGAAGAACACATAGGCTAATAGCTACGTTTTTTTTAATCCGCGCGGACGGAGATTCCGGGCGACAGCTAGTTATTGAAGAAAAAAACACTTTCCGTCCGCATATTTGAGTTTGGTCATCCTATTGCCACTGGTATTACTCTCATTGTTGTTTTGTTGCTAGTTTTTAGAAGGGTTATGTATTTTGTATGAAAATCAATGTTATTGTATGATTGAAGTCCTATGCCAATACCTATCGGGACGCGGTCACTGATGTAGATTTAGTAAGTCAGAACTTAAACTCTTAAACGCAATATCCACGCTCGCGAATAGCGTGCCAGGTGTCCAAATAAAGCCGGACATAGGCTTTTTGATTGCGTCTGGCCAAACTAAACGGTATGCGGCTTGTTCGGCTTTTGTTAGGCTTTTTAAATTTCGCAAACGAGAGTGGCCGGTGGAATGTAGGGCCTTTCTAACCAAACGTCCGACCAAATTAGTTAGTATGTCCGGCTATTAGGTTTGGCGGCCTGGCAACCCTACTAGCGAATCTCGCCGTGCGATGGTCTTTGCGGAGTCGTGTGTTAGCTTAGTAGAAAAAGGCACTTAGCTTACGAATGTGTGATTCTACGTAACCTTGAAATACCTTTAATTAAGACTCGTTGATTAATAATTGGCTTGCCAATAAAACAATTAAACGCTCTGTTATCGTTATGTAGGTTGCTAGGGAAAAAAATATTGTTTGAGTTGCCTTATAACTTCAATATCTGAAGTTCGGATTAATCTCTTATATATGTTCATGCATGATCAGGTCACTATACATCCCCACTGAGGTTCTCAGACCCTACCCTGCGGACGAGAGCGAAAGCGTGCCCGTGGTCCCGTCCAGATGCGTTGGAGGAACAGAGGGGTTTAGTGGGTATGCCTCCGCTATGGAGGAGAATCCCACATAACTACCGCGTCCCCCCAGGGGCGCGGAGTATGCATAAAGCATTCCCCTCTGAAAAAAAAAAAAGACCCTACCCTAAGTTAGGAGTGACTAGGCCATAGTCAACGCCGGCCCAGTGCGGGGTCCTTGTAGATATGTGCAGGTTACATCACGGTGTTTTCCTTCAGTGTAAGCACGTCGGTAAATGTGCATATGTATCGAAAAACACATTGGTACATGACGAGATTCGAACCCAGGACCTGTAGGTTACAAGTCATATGCTTAACCCCTGAGCCACCGTCTAATGACAGATTATAAGATATAATAATTCGGCAATAAAACATAAAAAACTTTAACGTGTTCTAAACCACGGTTACCTGTTCGTAATAAAAGCGCCATAAAAAGTCCCATTAGAACCTCTTTGAAAAGAAGCTATTGTAGGTTATAAAAGAATGTATTGTTTCCGAATGTCGTACCACTTACGGGTATCGTAAAAATTATATCGATTGTTAATAAGACAAGAAAAAAACAAGGAAAATTGATGTGCAATTTCATAGTACAATATTCTCTCCCTTATACAGGGTGGCTCATAAAACTGCTGCCACCTATTTTGGAGTCGTAAAAGCGCGTCGTAAATTACTCGTCACAAATGTGCCTCTTTGTTGGCTGGTGGCAGATAGGACGAGCGACTCCCTGATTGCAACCCCTGCAGTATAATCTCACACGATAAGTTGTGCCGATACTTACCAAGTGCTGCAAATGTCAACATGTTTTATCGAATATCGATACTTTCAAATAGTTTGTTGCGTGTTTCGTTTTATCGATATTGTCCAAAATTGTTTACAGGTTATTTAAAATAGGAAAATATAATATTTAAAATGATTTTTAATATACATTCAAAGGTTCCAAGTTTATACAAAGGTTATGTAGTCCAACGAGCAGTTAGAAAATTATTGTTTATTTTGAATAACACAATGAAAACAATTTAAAATATTAAGAGGACCCGAAAGCAACATGTATGTATGCATAGATGTATGAATTTAGTAGAAGTGTGAGAATTGTGTCAGGACTGCACCAAACGGTGGTTCGTGGTCTCTGCATACCCCTCTGGGTTACGGGCGGAAGTTGCTAATAACACCAAAATTGACGATACGTCATTTTAATAACTCAGCTATTTAAGATTGATAGTTAATAGTATTAGAAATTAATTTGTATATCGATATTATACGTTTACATTTTGATTACAGGGTACGTCACTATAGGTAGAGAATAGGTTATGTTCGACATAATCTTGGTTCCCTTGCCGCAGCCATATTGTTTTTAAGCCGCGGCAGATTTGGACAATGGCGTGGAAATCTCGTGACAAGTTATTGCTGTGCTTCAAAGTAATGGCGATGTGGGGTAGCCAGAGCTAAATATGTAAATATTCAAACGTAATGTTCGTTATAAAATGCCGTCACACAATAGTACATGTTTTTAATCAAAAGTTAACCTATACGGGATTCATCGTTGGTTCACTAAAATCTCTGAAAAGCAACAAACAAAAACATATCGTCATCCTTCTCATTATCTTTGACAAAACAGAGAAACCTGTGCTTTTTAATTACCCAATTTTTCACTCTTACAAATACAAAAAAGGGACTTATATTATAAAAAATATCTTAGGCCATAACGATGTAATTTATTTCAAATATCCAATAGACTTTTATTACTCCTTTCTCATGAATTATATTCGAAATTTCTTCACTATTTAGTAATTAGGACGGCACAATAAACGTCCCTTAAAGACCAATTCATAATCGTAAAACAAGTCATTCCACGAAAGTAGAATTTAATTTAATCACGAACTACCCTGCCTGCCCTGCGACAACAACCCTCAGGGAGGGATAAGGGTGGTCTCTCATTGACAAGGCTCCATTCAGAGGAAAGAGAACCAATCAACTTGAGCCCCGAAATCGCACCAACACAAGGGAATATCAACCAAACAGGGCGTCGCCTTCAGGTCAACTTAATATTGATCGGTGCCCTCCCTACAATGTCCAGTGTAATGAGACCCCAGCGAACATATTCGAGCTACGTTATTCAAGTTCTAGTTATATCAGTCCTTGATTATTACGAAATTCTTTGTTACCGTTTTGTGTATTTTATATTTATGAGAAATATTTTATTATTTTGTTCGATGGTTGAGCTAAAAGGTTTTATTGTCTATGTTATTTTCTCCATATAAATTGCTAAGAGTAATATATCAGAAACATATTACTAGCTTTTAATAAATTGAACATCGGAGTTGTACTACATATAATATGAATTTCACAAAGGTTTTGATAAAATAATGGTTTTCTAAGAATTACATTATTTATTTTGTCATAAAGATTTAACTGTTATATTCTCTTAGAGGTTATTTTTCCTAATGACGTAATATTTTAATTTGACACATAAAAAGCGCGCGGCAACAGCTGTCAATGTCAACCGTTGATAGTCAACGTATTGTCATAGAGTGATTGATTAATCAACTTTTTTACGATACTGTTCAATTGGAATTGAAAAGAGATTCCATTAATTTTTAACAGGCCCGTTGTAAATTAAATAGTTATACCTGATTATTTAATATATTAATGTGTCAAAGGTATTTAGAAAGCTAAATTTATCGAGAAATTGTAAATATTATAAAATATAAGTTGAAAATTCAAATATAGCTATTTCAAAATATATTTTTGAAGTGAACTTGATTAAATACGAACATCGAGATATATATCTCGTTACAAGTTCCATCAAAGCGAGCGAACGAACATGGCCGAACGTACCCGAGCGCCGCGCGCCCCGCTCGCCGCAGTCGGCGTTCGACGCCCCAGCGAGCGAACACATCGCGAATTCACGTTCGTGCGCTCCGCGATCGACAAAGCCGATTAAAAAGGTTATTTAAAAATGCTGGCCGAGTTTAATGAACTACAGCTAAAATAAAAAATAGGATGGCCTTTTTTAATCTATGCATTAGACATCAAAGTCTGTCTTATCTGTGAAGTGTTTGTTATATTGTGCATTTTGTGTAATATTTGTTATTCAATAATGGCGGATATTGAATGGACTAACGATTTAATTATAAGATTAATTACTGAGTACAAAAAGAAACCGGAACTTTGGGACAGTCATCACGAATTACACCGAGTGAACACAGCTAAATATGAAGCTTGGTCGGACCTGGCGAATATCTTTGAATGCGATATCGCCGACTTGAGAAAGAAAATGAATTCTATATTCGCTTCGCATCGACGTGAGAAGGCGAAAGTGCGTTGTGGGGGACGGTCGACTTGGTTCCTTTATTCGCATATGAATTTCTTACCAACACATATAGAAAATGTCGAAAGAAGTCCAGCGGTAAATTGAACTTTTCATTCTATTACTATTATTTTCTACATAATAAAAAATGCTATAAATAGACAAAGAATTATTTCCTATAACCTATTGGAGACATTTTAATATATATATATATATATATTGTGCAGTCATAAGAAAAGTATCTAATACCACATATATTTCCTTGTTATGAACCATACGTAAATTAATCTTTTATTAAATTAATTTTTAGTTTGTTTTTCGGCCAGTTTAATCGCACGGCTTGACCATGACATACTGATATGCTAACATACTTTTTTAGTTATATAGGTACGTTATATACATGTGGACATTGATAACGTGACCTTAAGAGCCATTTAACATTTTTAGGCGAATTTTTTAGTTTTTCGGTCGCTTCATTTAATCTTTGGTATTATTTTTAATTGAAATAGGTTAATACTTCTTAGGAACATCGGTGGGTCAGGGGTTAAAGCATTTGACTTGTAATCTGTAGGTCCTGAGTTCGAATCGCGAAGGAAAACATCGTGATGAAACCTACACATATCCAAAACAACCAACACTGCACAACAGCCAACGTGGTAGAACTATGGATTAGTCACCCTTAACATAGGGTAGGCTTGGAGCCTGTTGCCACGTATAGTGAGCTGATGATGATGAATACTTTTTATAATATAATACTCTTTCGTACAGAACTAAGACAGAATAGATTCCTTAAAATTACATGTTACATGAATACTGCGGTGCGATGTAGCAGATTGCAGAACTAGTTTTCAACGAGGTGTCAATTTCGGATGCTGGTATCGATCTGGACAGGACTTTTAGACATTATTAGTAAGAATCCTATGGCGCGAATGACGCGCTTTCATTACAAAGTCAAGTTTCAGAACAATTAGTGAGGGGTCATAAACGTGGGCACCCCAGTATGACCAGTGCGCCAGCACACCAGCACAATGTCGGACCTTCTTCCTAACAGGACATAGGCCTTTCAATTCCTTCCACTGTATGCGGTCCTTAGTCAGTCCTAGTTCCTTTAACTAGAATAATATTAACTTAGATATTTTTGTCAACAGAGTGAACGAGAGAGACGCATCTTGAAAATACCTGTAGAGGAAATAGGAGAATATTCCAACAACGACAACACAGATATTGAAGATAATTACGAACCAGAAACACAAGATGATATTGTCATCAAGTCTGAGCCAATGGTAGGATATGCAAAAGTCAAAGCAAGACAAGAAATAAAAAACGCAGCGTCTAGAAGACCTAGACTAAAAAAAGTCATAAAACGAAGAATAGTCAAAGATCACAATGAAGAAGAAAGAAATAGCTTAATAGAAGCTATAAGATTACTTAAAAGATCAGATTTATTAAAAAAGAAAGACGAGTGTGATAGCTTTGGAGAATATATCGCTGATTCATTAAGAAAACACGACGAGAGAACGCAATCGATGATAAAACAAGCTATAAATAATATATTATTCGAACAAGAGATGAAAAAATATAGTACGAATTATACAGTGGTAATACCTGGTATAGATGAAAACCCTCTTATTTTAACGGAAGAGAACGGTGTGAAGTGAGTAGATAGTGAATTTCCAATTTGGCAAATGTTTGACACATATCGTGGTCTTTGTTTTTTCATAGAGATTACGAGGAATGGAAATATGTGTCCACAAAGTATGTTATGACAGTTTTTTGACATTGACAGCTTACAAGTTTTAAGGGTTACCAGTTAGTAAAAGGCTCCTAAATTCTTCCTAAAGTCTGTGTTACATCTTCAAACAATTGATTTTGCAACTTATGACCTGAGTGCTCGTAATTTCTTAATATTCAAATAGATACATCCAAATATATTAGTAATTTAACTTACATGACATCAAGCGTAATATTTTTATGGAATTTCAAAATTACGAAAATGGCAACATTAAATTGCAGCTACCGCTCTCTTATTGGTCAAAATATAAAGCTGTCAAGATGACATTGTTTGAAAAAACTGCCATAAGATGCTTGTGCAATATTTAAACCAAACAAATACAGGGTTATAAATCATTAACCATTAAAATATTAGTTTTTGTTTATATGGAGACAATTAAATAGATCGTTAAGAGAACATACATTCTCCATAAAATGTTTGAAATAAACGAGATATAATTTTTGTTGTAAATCAGTTTTTTAATTCGGATTTCCTGGAGGTACACAAAAACTTGTAAAAAATGATTATAAAACAACTAAGACTTAGTACTACTATTCTAAAGGGTAATAAATAATAGAATAATATAAAATTAATTAAACGCTTCTGTCCATAAACATGTGTAAACAGTGACATCAAGGTCAGTCTTTGTTTACGATCACCGAGTGTCCTACATGTCCGGCGATATGTCCGGAAGATTTTGCATTAATAGCTATATAATAGAAAAAGAATCTAATTCTTTTGAAGAAATGTAAGTATATTCACTTAGTGTGTAATGTTTGAAGTCTCATTTGAATTAAGATTAAGCATTACATTATTCTCGTATCACATCATATTTAAAATTAACTACTTTATTAATAAAAGCACTGCTATGAGGAAAACAAGGAATTTAATAGCTGTGTGAAATAAACTGTCTTTAAAAAGTGTTCAATAAAAGTACATCAATGTAACAGATCTGAATGTATTTTGTCACGCACTCTCAACATAAAATTTCCGCCATTTTTTGTCACAATCCGTCAATATCTGGAACAGATGACTACGTGAGCCGTCGCACGGCCGTGTCTCTTATTATCCATCTTAAAAAAACGATAATTTCAAAATTGTACACTATCCATGTACTCTTACAAATCAAGCAACCGATTGTGATGGTTAACAAAACCAGCAATGTATATTTGACATAATAAATCTTACTTTACTTTTTAAAAGTGCAGTGCAAATTATTACAAGTTACAGTTGCGTGCCTAAAATTGCATCAGCCATTTTTTGTTCTACATCGTCCATTACCGACTTTGTATGGAATTTTTCCTCTTACTGTCTGATCTGTACGGTATTGTATATCGTTGTTAGTTGATTGTCGTGAATTAGTTAGGAGTGCATTAGAGCAAGACTAGATCACGCCACTCTACGTCACAAGCGTTATTATTTTTGCTGCACTGGAATAAATTAAATGATAATTGATCACGTAGGTTTTTGCTTTATATGTATTGCTTTTGCCTTTTTTAGTCCGATGATATGACTCATTTGATACCTATAAGAATAACCTTAATAACATTACCAAGCAAAGTTTTTTATAACAAGAACTTGTAAAGAATTACCATCGATCTTCATTTTTTGATTATAGTTAGTTAATTGGCTCAAGGTCATGGGCGCGATGCGTACTGTCCTCTCCCCGCATCCCACTTCACCCCGCTACGCCTTATATTTTGTTCCGAGTAGCAACACGCGAAGTAAAAAACCGTCAAGAAGTCTCAAAATGATCGTACTTAAATTTTTATTTTTATCTCAATATGGTAATAGCAATCGATTTCGTTCATTGTTTCGTACATTTTCCAATTTCCAATAAAAATATTGTCTACTTTACATTGAATAGATCGCGTGTTCTTTCTTTTTCAAACGCAAAATATATTAATGTAAAATCGTGTGAACTGAATGTGTTACTTTCTTATGAATATATTGTTCGTATGAAATCCTTTTTTTATTAAGATTTGACTAGTTTTTGCCCGCGACATCGTTAGCACTGGATTAATAATTTAATTAGTACGTTCTCCAAGACTTTGTTAAACATCTATTCCAAACGAGATAAGTTTAGGTGTGTGAATACGTAATAACGAATAACAAACATCCATCTTAACTTTTGCATTTATAAAATTAGTAAGATTGTGAATGATTTTCTTCTCAGGGGACGCACGACTTTATTGTATTTCTAATTTTGAGTTTTTCATGACTAGAACTAATTTATTCTTTAAACAAGCTGTCGCCCGCAACTACGTCCGCGCTTAATTAAAAAATAATAAAGTAGCCTATGTATTCATCCAAGCCGTTCTGGAGATGCATTCTAGCATCCATCCAACGATCTAAACATAAGCATTTATAATATTAGTAAGATAGTTTAGTTTGAACTTTGAACGTAATATACAAACCTATATAATATGTATGTGAGTAGGTTGATTGTATGTCTGTACAATTATTTTTAGAATCGCGTGATATTTGGCAAGAAATAACCTGCATACAGAAGTATTTTAAATATTCTGGTCAAGTCAACATTCGGATTTATCTCGAAATAAGAAATCAAGAATCTTTTATTGATATCATTGTTTAATGAATTTATTACACCTTTTAGTTTTTTTTTTAGAATTTTGTATTCAAGTCAGTGCTTGTTTCTTTCATTAAAAAAAAAAATTCTTGGTTCATAGTAACACTATGGACATCTTATGGCTCCTACGTAGAGTACCATAAGCCATATTTTTGCGATTTATTCCTTTTATTAATTTCTGTATAAATTTGAAAGTCATATTAGAAAGAATTGTAAATTTTCGATATCTATTATATGTTCATATTTGATGCGTCGTAATTAAGTTGTCTTACGAATTTTGAGTTTAACACTTACGATAGTTTACTTAGGAGCCGAATTATTTTTTAAAAATAATAATTCCAGAACATTAAAAAAATCATCATATCACGTTCAACTAAAGTATCCATTTTCTACAATCAACATTCATTTTTCATGCCATACTAATTTCAACTCTATTTACAGCATTTTAAATAAAATACAAAATAAATTTGCATAGCAACATTTCATGAAATAATCATAAGTTTCGTGCTGTCAAATTGTACTTTATTGCTTTGGCGTTAAAGTTGTAAATCAATTGATAAGTTTTATTACGAAAATTGTGCACGCGATATTATACCTTAGTGCATTGGAATAAGATATATATGTAAATGTATGACAGTTAATGTGGCATACGTAAGCGCTTTATTTAGAACTGGCGACAACGAGTCTGTTGTATAAGATTAAACACATGTAAATATGTTTGTATGTATATACGTCTCGTTACTGAGTTTGCACAGAGTCATAAAACATACAAACATACTCTGGTAACCTTTTGTAGGTTGGATATATGAAACTCTTAGGACTATACCACTTTGTCTATTCAAAATTTATTGATATACTAGCTGTCGCCCGCGACTTCGTTCGCGCGGAATTAAAAAAAAAACGTAATTAGTAGCCTATGTTTTCTTCCAGGCTATGTTCTATATCCTAAATATCATCAAGATCCGTTCAGTCGTTCTGGAGATACCTTCATCCATCTAAACATTCGCATTTATAATATTAGTAAGATAAAAACTTAACTAAAAACCATTATCTATTTGGTATTGTTATTTTTGACTTAAAAGGATGAAATAAAGACAAATATTAAGTACTAAATTTTAATATAAATCGCGAATCTTTGGACTTCCATTTTAATATACGTAACAGTATTATAAAAATACTCGAAAGTTACGAACACAAAAGGGGCTGTCAAATAGATTGCAAGAGGGGCATAATGCCAAAGGGGTACTGGCCGCTGACGCTCGGCTGATGCAATCACCTCGGATGATATGTCTGGCACACGCGTGGATTGACAGCAAGATGGACGTCTCAACTTCGCGCCAAATTATGCTGCAAATATGTAACAAATAACAAAGGTAGACTTTTAATGATTACATGCAATCTTATTACAGTATAATTCCACTGCTGTAACACTTGTTAAATCTCTAGAACAAAACAGAAGTTAAATATCTACTAAGTCTCACAGTAGTGAAATCCTACTGTTACATTACGTAACGCTACGTTTACATAGAAATTATTTTGCAAAAGAAATATTCAAAACTATAGGTCGATTGCGATTACGGTTGCCAGGCAAACCCAATAGCCGGACAGACCAACTAGTTAGGCCGGACATTTGTGTAGAAAGGCCGGGCCCCCTAAATTATTGAGGATCACTTTCGTTTGCGAAATGCTTAACAAAATCCGGACAACCCAGACACCGTTTATCCGGACGCCTGCCAATGGTACTTGCGACTTCTTCAGCGTAAAAAAAAATATGTTCGAAGTTACTCTCCCGTATATCTATCTTCCAGTAAAAGTTCCGTCAAACTCTCTTTAAATATTTTCTGGTAAAAACGCGTATTTGCTTATTTGTAACAGGACTTATGTAACGTATTTGCAAATATCACGTCATATCAGTTTTTACTTCCTTCAAAACTATAAAAACAGATTTATCAACATGTTGACTTGCTTGAATAATATGATAACAGTGAAATCTAACCTTGTTGCAAAATAAACAATATTTTTACTATTATAAAAAGAAATAATTTGTCTGTTTGTTTCGTTTGAACTTATTTGAAAAATTTTTTCATTGTTGCGAAGCTACACTATCCCCGGGTGACATCGTTACTAATATTATAAACGCGAAAATAGCTGTCTGTCTGTCTGTCCTTCTTTCACGCAAAAACAACTGAACCGACTTAAATGAATTGTAGCACACAGATAATCTAGAACCTAAACCGAAAAAGACAGCACGAGGACGAAGTCGCAGGCACAGTTAATAGGCAATATTTTTTTATTCCGATCAGGCGAAGTCGCGGGTATTGCTAGTATCATCACTATTGTACTTTTCAGTTAAATCGTACGTTTAGAACTGTCGTTTAAATGTACAGTGGGTCTAGAATTAATATTTGTTACAATTGCCAATGTATCGTCATCGACAAATTCGTATTAAAATATGAATAGCGCCATCTATCAGACGTAACCGTACACCAAAAATATACTAATGACATAATTCAGGATGACGATACGAAAGTGATGGTCAGTGACAATTTGTCAAAAATATTTGATGTAGGACAGTTCAACTATTCAGTTAAAATTGTATGTGTAACCGGCTTAACATACCAGGAAAGGAAACCGTAAAAACGAACTAAATTTTGAGGAAACTATAGTTAAAATTAATAAATTACTGTGAGAGCATAACTTGATTTATTTCCTCAAAAACTTTCCGCGTTAATTCGTAAGTATTACGTTAAAAAGTTCCGAGAATAAAAGAGCATTTTTTCATGGCAACCCTGAAATCATATTTAGAGTTGATGTGCGTACGTGCAACAAAACACGAGAGCAATGGAGACAAAGCAACACGAGAAATATTTATTATAATTATTTG